ATTGAATTTGAATTTCCAAAATTGTCATAAGCTCATCTTATCTTCCACATTATAGAAGTTAGTAACAAATAAACTATATATTATAAAATTTGACATAACCAAAGTGATGTACTTAGTATAAATATAATGAAGAAAGGAACATAAAATAAAAAAATTCTTATATTGGTGAAGATGACAGGGTTCTAGTATTTATAGTAATCAATAAACTTTTAACTATTGAATAATATAAATTATAAGAGTAATGGAGTAATCAATACGTACAATTGTAACTTATATTTATAATTAGTGTCTTAATTATAATTTAGTAATATTTTTAAGAAGGAATAGAGAAATGTTTAAATATTTAGAGGGGTAAACCTTTAACGTACATATACCTAATTAATAAAGGAATTAATGGAGGAATTAAAGAGAAATGATCAATAAAGGGTATTTATTTTATTTAATTAATATATCAAGATGAAAATAAGAGAAAAAAAGGTTTTTGGAGAAAGACAAAATATATTATTACTAATTAGATTAGATGTTTTAATTTAGTAAAAGGGCGTAAAAGAAGAGTAATTCAATTTTGAAAATTGAGCCTCTCACTTCTAATAATATATGATGATATGATTGAATGATTAATGAAGAACGACCTTAAGGTCAACCTTAGACGTCGTGATCTAGTGGCTTTGATGTAATAAATGAATGTTAAAAACTATAGTTACAGAAAATAAATGTCTTTTTTGAAGAAAAAAATGAACTATATTTACGAATAACTAAGAATATCATTCATCTTTAAGCTCAAGATTACAAATTCAAGTCACCAGCTCAATAGGGAGGTGGGAACTCTTTAGGAACCTTTTCCTTTTAACTCATTTCCTAGGAGTTTGCTCCTACTACCATATAGAATTGGTGACTCGAACCCGCATCAAGATTGCAGGTTCGAGTCACCAGCTCAATAGAGAGGTGGGAACTCTTTAGAAACTTCTTTTAACTCATTCCCTAGGAGCTCGCTCCCACTTTCTACAGAGTTGGTGATTCGAACCCACAATACTGAACTTAGAGATGAAGGGTGATTACCATTTGAACAACCTCTTCTTGTGTTTGAAATTCCCCCATCTTAAAACAAACCCTCTATGGAATTGTGAAGGAAAAAGAAGAGAAAACAATTCTGAGAAATTCTTTTCAGCCAGGGGAGTTTCGAACACAAGAACAACCCCTTCTTATCGAAACTTTCCACACGGACTCCATCCTTACCACTGAGTATAGCGATAAAATGATGTCCGAACCAGTTGGTACAATGTTCCATCCGAAAGGATATCATTATATATCGCATACTGTATAAGTGATATACTCATAGTTAAAAAGGTGATATATATATAACTTCATTGTCTAATAAAAAAGCAAATTTACTCTTTTTGATAACAAATTCATATGCACAAACTCATAGTCAACCCTTTAATTGCATGTGGGTCAAGGGGTTCGAGTAGCTGTTTGCCACTAAATTCTAATCATTTTTTTAAAAAATCTCTTTTAACTGAATCACACAATAAGAAGACTAGAATGTTGGAACTCCACAATTCCATAAAGACTTGGTCTTCGAAGAGAAGAAAGTTTCTCGGATGGTAAACATCATTCACTTTTAATTTTAAGATGGTGAATTTAAGTCACTACAAGGTTTTTAAAATGAGAGCTCTTAAAGAGGGGTTAACAAAAGTTTCTCGAATTAACTTTACTACAAAACCTTAATCATTATAGTAAGATGAGAAGAAAGTTGAAACTTGAACTAATTATAAAAGGAAAAAAATATAACTCCATAAAGGTATTGTTGGAGAAAGATTTGGTTGCTCAGATGGTAAATATCGTCTATCTCCAAGCTGAAAAGTGTAGGTTTGAATCACCAACTTGGTATAGAGGTGGGAGCTCTTTAGAGACTATCTTTTTAGCTCATTCCCTAGGATCTTCCACTTCCTTACCGAGTTGACGACTCGAACCCACAACGTTGAGGTTGGAGATTAAGGTGTTTACCACATGAACAACCGTCTCTTGTGTTCAAGACTCTCTGTCTTAAAAGAAAAACCTTTCATGAAATTGTGAAGGAAAATAGCAAAAAAATTGCGTTTCTCAAAAGGAAAAAAATCTTCAACATGAAGTTAATTTCTTTATGTTATTTATTTATATTCCTCTGATGCGAATTTTTAAAGTTTCTTTCAATTTTACGATTTAGAGTTGACATCTTATTGTTAAAAAAGTCACATATATACATTCATTGTCTAACTCAAAGAGTATCTATTTAATCTTTTCATTAACAAATTCTTATTTATTGAATTAAAAAACTTAAAATTATAATCCTTCCTTTTTTCCCTCTTTTGATCCCTTGTAATTAATATCAATTACCTTAATTACTAACAAAAAAGAACAAAGTTAAAACTTGAGCTAATTAGCAGGAAAAACTTAATGAGATTTATTTTTTGAAAAATGCAAATTTATTTGCTCTTTTCCTTCACAACTAGGTAAAGGTTTCTCCGAAATATAAGAGGAGGTTGCGCACATAGTAAGCACACTCAACCCCCAGACTCAAGATTACGGGTTCGAGTCATCAAAAGAAGCAAAAATGTGAATGCTTTTTAAGAAGGACCGGAATTAAAAAATGTTTCTTCAAACCAACTCCACAACTACTTAAAAACTTTAGAGGGCTCTAAGGATGAGAGCTCTTAGAGCACCAACCTCAAGTTTGCGGGTTTGAGTGAAACAAATAGATGGAAGCTCTTATCATTGAGTTAGTAAAAAGAACCATAGCTATAAACAATTATGGAGTTATTTTCTCTTTTTCTTCACAACTTCATAATCGCTTACAAACCAACATTCTCACAACACTACTCTAGGGTTTATTCGGACTAAACTTTTATGAGCTCTCACCTATTTGCTCCCTAGACGACTCGAATGCGTAATTTTAAGATTGGAGATGAAGAGTGCTTATCATTTGAGCCATCCCGTTGTTGTTGAGTTGGGAATGAAAAAAGGAAAAAGAGCAAAAAAGTTTGCATTTCACACAAGGAAACATTTCCTCATGACATTAATCTCTTCTTCTTTTCTTAACTATCAACAGAAAGTTTTATATCCTCAAAAGTATAGATCCTTTATTGCACTTGTATAATTGTAGTGAGACAAGTTTAATTTGGAATTAAACTTAATTTGGTTAAAGTATAATATTAAAGATGAAAGGATTAGTTATCTTAATTGCAATTAGAAGACAAGAATAATTAAAGTTGAAACTTAGAACTAATTATATCAGAGAAATACTTAGGGGGGAGACTGTTTCTTTTTGGGAAATGCACATTTTTTTTTACTCGTTTCGACAATATTTGGTTGCTCAGATGATAAATATCTTTCACTTTAAACGTTCGAGTAAAATAATCAAAGAACCTTTTCATATAAAACTCATTTCCTAGGAGCTTCCACTTTCTTACCGTATTGGTGAATCAAACCACTAACATTGAGACTAGAAGTTTACCACATGTTCGACCTCCTCTTGCGTTTGAAACTCCCTCTTGTCTTAAAAATAAAAACTTTATGGAATTATAAAGGAAAAAAGAGAAAGGCCAAGAAAAAAGAAAAAATCTTCACCATAAATTTATTTAGTTCCAACACATATTTTTATTGTCTAAGAAAAAGAATATATTATCTTTCCTGTTAACAAGTTCATATTTACTGAATTAAAAAAATTCCTTAAATCAATGTTTTAATTTCAAAAAATTTACTTTATTTTAAAAAATTACCTCATCTTTTTTTCTTAAAACTCTTTTAGACTTGACACGTGCCCCACACATTTTTGGAAGTCGATAATGTGAATGATAATTTCATTTCAAGTATTATCTAAAATATCATCATTTTTATGTTGTTATCTTTCTCAAATAACAAATTATAATAAATTTTTTTCTATATTATTATTGTTTAGTTTAAATTTATTTATAGAATTATTGAAAATTTTACTATTTCTTTTTCCTTTTTAGTAAAAAAATGAGAAAATTTTATAATTGACATACTCTTATTTTCTTATTATAAAATTGAAAATTCAAAAAACATTCTACTTCACATCATTAATACACCTAAATCATGATATTAGAATTGAGGACTACTCATATAAACTTCATACTCATGATAATCATCATATCAATTCAATCTACATCAATTGCCCTCAATGCCATGATCACAACATGTAATAGTGGACCAAATCATACAATGTCAATCCCAATTATGGCTGGCAGTGATACCGGTAATGGGACTATCGAACCGACATTAACCAGAACCGAAAATCACCATCCCAAACCGTATCGGAATGAGGCTGATAGGTATCGATAGTTACGGATAGGAATGACTCTATCCGTGCCGATCCGCTAGCGAACCAGTGCAGAATCGGACCGGATCAGATTCCGAAAAAGTCCATTAATTTTTTAAGAAAAAGTTTATTAAAATAAATTAATTATTAAAACTTTTATTATTTTAAAGTTAAAGAATTATACTTTTCAAACTTTTAAAGTAAATTACTTATACTTTTTGAACTTTTAACCTTTAAAGTTTGAAAATTTGTAAAACTTGTAAAATTTAAACTTTCAAATTATAATTATATATATAATTTAAATCTTAGTTTGAATTTAAATTTAGTTGTAGATTTAGAAGAAGTATTATTTTTTCACTTTAGTCCAACAGTTAATATGACCTTTGTACGTTTAAATAAAAGTTTAAGATAAAAGAATTTAATTTTTCAAGACACTAACTACTCACATCGTCCACTTTTAATAATTATATTCCGTTTTTTAAAAGTATATTTGACTATTTTTTTAAAATTAAATTAAATTATATTAATTTAATATTTCAAACAAAAAATTTAATATAAAAAATAACTCACCAAATATTAGTGAAAGTTCTTAAATTAACCCTACTAAAGGAAAATGATACTCCTTTATTTCTCTATTAATTATCATATTTGTCACTTTTAAAATCAAACTATAAAAATTTTTAATAAATATTTTATAATATATTTATTTATTATATTAACAGTGAAAAAAGTTGCAATAATTATCCAAAGGCAAAGGCAGCTGCACAGTAAAACTTGTCAGTCTCTCCTCCAAATCTCCATTGCTCTGGTAATGTTATTGCTGTAGTTGAGATTTTTGTGAATTAGGGTTCATTTTTTCTTTTGAATCATGAGATTTACTTGTAACTCTCCGATTTTGCTGTAGAAATTTGCGCTGTCAAATACTAGTAGATTTATTTATGTATTAATGGGAAGCAAGTATTCCAAGGCAACAAATTCCATAAGTGATGCTTCAAACTCTTTTGAAAGTTATCGATTTCCTTTAGAAGATTTGGAGGAAGCAACCAACAATTTTGATGACAAGTTTTTCATTGGAGAGGGTGCATTTGGGAAGGTTTACAAGGGTGTTTTGCGTGATGGAACAAAGGTCGCCCTGAAAAGGCAAAATCGTGACTCCCGGCAAGGTATTGAAGAGTTCGGAACAGAAATTGGGATACTCTCACGCCGTAGCCATCCGCATCTGGTTTCATTGATAGGATACTGTGATGAAAGAAATGAGATGGTTCTAATTTATGACTACATGGAGAATGGGAACCTCAAGAGCCATTTGACTGGCTCAGATCTACCCTCCATGAGCTGGGAGCAGAGGCTGGAGATATGCATAGGGGCAGCCAGAGGTCTACACTACCTTCATACTAACGGAGTTATGCATCGTGATGTCAAATCTTCAAACATATTGCTTGATGAGAATTTTGTGCCAAAAATTACTGACTTTGGACTATCCAAGACAAGGCCTCAGCTTTATCAAACCACAGACGTGAAAGGAACTTTCGGCTACATTGACCCTGAATATTTTATAAAGGGACGACTTACAGAAAAATCTGATGTTTATTCTTTCGGTGTTGTTTTATTTGAAGTTCTTTGTGCTAGGTCTGCCATGGTTCAATCTCTTCCAAGGGAGATGGTTAATTTAGCTGAATGGGCAGTGGAGTCGCATAATAATGGACAGTTGGAACAAATCGTAGATCCCAATCTTGCAGATAAAATAAGACCAGAGTCCCTCAGGAAGTTTGGAGAAACAGCGGTAAAATGCTTAGCTTTGTCTAGTGAAGATAGGCCATCAATGGGTGATGTGTTGTGGAAACTGGAGTATGCACTTCGTCTCCAAGAGTCTGTTATTTAAGATATTTTTGTTTTTCTGAGTTTTATATAGAAAGGTAAACTTTGAAAACTTGAATTGCTATACCTGTGGATCCTTCTTTCATTTTATTAGGTGCGTCCGGCTGTTACACATATTGTATATGGTTCTTATTAAGTTGTTCAGACATTTTCTTATTGTAAAGAGGCAAAAAGGAAGTTTGCTGCTTTGACATAGTCATCTAAAACTATATACATTCAACTTTCAGAATGGAACTATAAAAGTTTGTGGAGCAATTCTAAATGTTACTCAACCTGTTCACAAAATGACTATTGTAGAGCAATAATGGTTATAATATATAACCATTATTGAGTAATATTTTTGTAGTAGTATTGCCCAAGTCCATTAGCGGAAAGGTAATTTTCTTTTCGGTTCTCTCTTCCACAATAGCTATCAATCTCTCTGTCTTCTCGCTAAATTTCCTCAGTTGTGGTATAATCAGAGGTTCCTCAAGCCTTCTGTTTTTGTATACATATATTTGTGATTTTCATCTATCATGCTTACTGTTAGGAGTTCATATTGCTTGATGAGAATTTTGTGGCAAAAATTACTGATTTTGGACGATTCAAGAAAGCTTGATCAAACCCATGTTACCACAATAGAAAAGGGAACTTTTGGTTATCTTGACCCTGAATATTATCAAACTAGTCTGCTGACAGAAAAATCTGATGTTTATTCTTTCGGTGTTGTTTTATTAGAAGTTCTTTGTGCTAGGCCTGCGCTGGATTCACCTCGTTCGAGGGAGATGGTCAGCTTAGTTAAATGGGCAAAGGAGTGTCAGACGAACGGACAGTCAAAACGAATTATAGATCCCAATCTTGTTGGCAAAATAAGACCAGATTCCCTCGGGAGGTTTGGAGAAACAGCGGTGAAATGCTTAGCTGAAACTGGCGTAGACTGGCCATCAATGGGTGAGGTGCTGCAGAAACTGGACTATGCACTTCATCTCTAAGAGCCTGTCATTCAAGAAAACACTGCCATCCCTATTCGCGAGCAAATCAATGATTTCAGTCATGTTGATGACACTTCCTCTGCTGCTTCGGTCAAAATTGGGCTGATCTCTAGTATGAATGGTACATACCTTCCTTTAGTATTGTTTACATATTTTTTTTTTGTTTTTTAAAGAGTCTTCTGAGTTTTATATAGAATGTTTCACATTGAAAAACTTGAATTACTCTACCTGTAGATCCTGCTTTCATTTTATTAGGTGTGTCACATGTTGTATATGGTTTCTATTAAGTTCTTCATACATAACAAATCATTACATTAATGTCATGGTAGCGAAAACACTTTAGAAAACATGGAACAATTTTTAGGCTCTGGAAAGTTTGCATATGGTAATACACTCTTTTCTTATTGTAAAGAGCCAAAAGGAAGTTTGCATTACTTCTTCTGAGACTGCTCATGAGACTCTTCTTTATTTCAATAAAAAAAAATAGTCAAAACACATTTTGATTTTGCATCATGAAAATGAGTAAATAGTACTCCCTCTGTCTCCATTTACTTGTCAAATTTTTACTTTGCAAGCCTATTAACAAAACAATGATTGATATAGTGAGTTTACCATTTTATCATTATTAATTGATAGGATTTCAAACATATCTACACGCTACATTTTTCAAAGACATGAATTGAATGTTAATAAATTGAGTGTATAATAGAAAAATAAAAATTGTGTTCTTTCTTGATTTGTCAAAAATGACAAATAAAAGGAAAAATTCAAATTAGAAAATATTTGATAAATAAATAGGAACGGAAAGAGTACACAACAAGCAATCATTCTTTTGCACACATAAATTATTAAGTACTATTACTTCTAGAGAAAAAGGCAGTTTCATATAATAATGGAGAAACATAAACAAAAGTAAAAAAAAATAATAGTTTCATATATAAGTTAGATACAGATATATACATTATTAAATTTAGAGAGGTCTAAACTATCAAGTAGTAATCAACAAGTAAATGTCCTAATCAAGACTAAAAAAAGTTTGTGTTTTCTTTATATAGAATTTGTGATTTTTCATCAATTATATACTTGGAATTGTTCTACATTCCTCAATCAGGGTTGACTTTGTTCTTTTCTTATCTATGTTTTCAATTTTGAAATAGTGACCCCTTTCAATCATGTAACTTTTACTTGTAGCGTTCAGATTTTGCTCAAGAAAACAGCCGGGAGAAGTTCAATTAATGGTTGCACTCCATGGGAACCAACTATTCCAAGCCAACAACTTCCATAAATGATGCTTCCAATTTGAGTAATCGCGTTCCTTTTGAAAGTTTTCGAGTTCCTTTTGTAGATTTGCAGGAAGCAACTAATAACTTTGATGACAAGTTTCTGATTGGAGTGGGTATATTTGGTAAGGTTTACAGGGGTGTTTTGCGTGATGGTACAAAGGTGGCCCTGAAAAGACGTAAGCCTGAGTCTCCACAAGGTATTGAAGAGTTCCGAACAGAAATTGAGATACTCTCACACTGCAGCCATCCACATCTGGTTTCACTGATAGGATACTGTGATGAAAGAAATGAGATGATTCTAATTTATGACTACATGGAGAATGGGAACCTCAGTAAACGTTTGTATGGATCAGATCTATGTCTTCCCACTATGAGCTGGGAGCAGAGGCTGGAGATATGCATCGGGGCAGCCAGAGGTCTTCACTACCTTCATAACAGTGCAGTTATACATCGTGATGTCAAGTCTACAAACATATTGCTTGATGAGAATTTTGTGGCAAAAATTACTGATTTTGGAATATCCAAGACAACGCCTGAGTTTGATCAAACCCATCTTAGCACAATGGTGCAAGGAAGTATAGGCTACATTGACCCTGAATATTTTATAAGGGGACAACTGACAAAAAAATCTGATGTTTATTCTTTCGGTGTTGTTTTATTCGAAGTTCTTTGTGCTAGGCCTGCCATAGGTCGTTCACATATGATCAGTTTAGCTGAATGGGCAGTAGAGACGCAGAAGATGGGACAGTTGGAACAAATTGTAGATCCCACTATTGTGGCCAAAATAAGACCAGAGTCCCTCAGGATGTTTGGAGAAACGGCAGTGAAATGCTTAGCTTCATCTAGTGAAAATAGGCCATCAATGGGTGATGTGCTGTGGAAACTGGAGTATGCACTTCATCTCCAAGAGCCTATCATTCAAGATAATCCTGAATGATTCTTTGTTAGTGGATCATGTAGAGATTTATTTTTTGTTTTGTTGTAACAGTCTTCAGAGTAAGTGTTTCACATGTGTGTATGACTTCTATTAAGTTCTAATTGTAAACAGCAAAATGAAGTTTGCTTACCTCTTCTGAGATTTCTCAGAGACCCCTCCGATTTCTCTGGATGTTTGATGTGTTTGAGATACTATAGAATTTGGTCTCTCTTTTTCATTAATATTTGGCAATAGGGATATCAAGGTCAGGTCTGGTAATATGTTGATTTGTTTTTGATTTTCCAGTCTCATTGAAAACGAGGATTCTCACATCTCTGATTTCTCTTCCTGGTAATGTGATATACTTATGTAACAATGATGACTTCCCCAAGCTATGTACAAACACTTCACCATTTCAATTTACAGCTAAAAAACAGAGTAATGCCATAAAAAAAAAAAATTTAAAAATCAACCCACAAATTTTGAAATGTTGAACCACATCCCTGAGATGATATCAGCACAACAAAATGCAATATTTCTAGAATTGCTAGAGCAGGATGAATTCAGAACTGCAGTTTCTGGGCCAAGTGCAGAGAGTACTGGAGGACCTGATGGCTACACAGGAAAGTTTTTATCAAGCTTGTTGGGATATAATTGCTAACGATATGACAAAAATGGAAAAATCCTTCTTTTGGGGACACAAGTTACCTATACATTACATGTACAAATCTGATTTTAATTCGCAAGAAGAAAGAAATCACCACTTTTTCAGATATGAGTCCTATTAGCCTGAGAGATTTTACCAGCAAGGTTATTTCAAGAATCATTCATGAGAGAATAGTGAAGTTGCTACCAACAATAATCTCGCCGCAACAATCAGGCTTTGTTAAAGGCAGAAGTATTGTGGAGAACATATTATTAGTCCAAGAAATAGTTCATGATATCAGAATTAGAGGTAAGCCGACCAATGTTGTACTCAAACTAGACATGGCAAAAGCTTATGATAGAGTATCATGGCTTTTCTTGACTAAAGTTTTAAGGAAGATGGGTTTTGGGGAGATACTGATAGACATGGTGTACAAAATCATTTCCAACAACTGGTACTCTATACTAGTTAATGGACAACCAAAGGGGTTCTTTAAGTCTACCAGAGGACTGAAACAAAGAGACCCTTTATCACCAACATTATTCATATTGGCTGCGGAATAGTTATCCAGAGCTACAGCCCAAATGGTATGGAAACATTTTTGTAGACCAGTATGTACTAATATTGAGAATCTTCTCTTATCTCAAGTGATAACAAATTGTGGGAGAGATAAATGTACATCAGCAAGTTATGTATATATTTCAAGTTGTCCCCTCTATCATAGTGTGGGAATTATGGAAGAGGAGAACCACACTAAGACATAGGGGACGGAAGAGTGCCAATAATAAGTTGTTCTATCAGATAATGCATACTTTGATCATGTTCATTCAGACAAGGAGGAAGAATATGCCATATAAACGGAGTGCATTAGTGGATGCTTTATTTAAGTACAGTCCTGCAGTCAAGGTAATCAAAGTAACTTGGAAACCACCAGACACATGATAGATTAAAGTGAATCCAGACGGAGTGTCTAAAGGTAACCCATGAAGGATTTCGTGGGGTTTTTGTGCGAGAAACGTAGAGGGAAATATAATATATGCACAAGCTTAGGAGATTGAGGATTTATCCACCACTAATACAAAAGCAGAAGCGCTGGCAATAACATGATCTAAAGTTTATAGAGACGACACAGTTAGACAGAGTAATTATGGAAACTGATTCTCTGTTAATCAAAAATTTTGTTGAAAGAACCTGAAAAGGGACTATTCTAGAAGGTATTTGGGGACTTATGCGAGGCAACACGATTATAATAACACATGTACTCAGAGAGAGGAACAAATTGGCTGACTATCTAGCTAATGTGGCACTGGAAAAAGAGGTTGTTATAGTAAATAACTTTCAAGAGTTGGAACCTCAGGGCAGGAGAATAGTAAACAATGATAAAATGTGTACTCCTTATTTAAGAATCAGATCATGCAAACGATGGAAGGAAGACAGGAGCAGGAAGATAGAAGCAACTTTCAAGTTCAAATTCCGAGGGAGGAGAATTGTCAGCATCCGTGTTTTACTAATAGGTTGCTCAGTGTTGCAGGTACAACATACTCAGGACAGACAAATCACAACAAGAACGAATACAAAATTAAGATACAAAACAGATACAATATGGTTATAAAAAGATACACACAATAAGCATGCAAAAACAGAAAAGAAGGCACAGGCAAGAATATGTAATAAAGGCCGAGCTAGCGAATAATACTGACTATATCAAGAGCTGAACAATGTGTGGTATTAGTATCATACGATGCTCAATCTATTGGTCAACAATCGTTAGAAATCAGCAAAAATCCTAACCTAAGAACGCTTACTATAGAAATGAAAACAAGATGAAATCGAGAATCACAGGAAAATTTACAAATAGAGAAGAGAAGGAGCATAACAAGAAATTTGCAGATATCAACAAATGGAGTGAGGAAGAAGATCGACAAAATGAAAAAGAAATCAACAAAAAACCAAATCCATAGAAGTGCATACCAATTAGCATGCAAATATCAAAGAAGAGTAACTCAGCTGGCCGGAATAACAACAACGACATCAGAATCTCCAATTGAACCTAAGGAGAAGTATTGTGGAAGAAGATGGAAAGTTCTGATACACTTTTGATAGCGAGTTTTTGACTAAAAACATCCTTGAACTATGGTTTTAAACTTAAAAGCACATCATTGTAATATCATAGTTAACAAAAAACATCATTCAAGTATCTAAGCATTAACAAATCCTATCCATTAGTTAAAAGGCCGTTAAAAATCTAACGGAGTGGATGAAATTTACTTAAAACTGCTCAGGTTTAACCCTTCATATTCTCTCAGGTCTCATAGATATGGATTTTAACTTCATTTATTGAAGTATGCTTCATTTTCCACCCCAGTCATTTTTAAATCTGTGATGCAATAACGCAAAGTCAAATCATGCAAATGCAGAGATACTAAAACCAGTATCCCTCAAGAACATGAAGAATGATTGCTTTCTTACGCGGTATATGTGTTGTTCACAGTGTCTTTCCTCTTAATTAGAAGAAGGTAAATTAAAGGCAATAACAAGCATAGTTAGTTCTTTTCGATAATGATCCAAAACCAATGTAGGTAATGTTTCCAATCTGTGTTATAAAATCAGAAATTACTGGTTCTAATAAATCATTCAGAAACACAAAGTAACTGAGATTTTTTTTATAACCAGTAAATAAGATGAACAGAAATTTATTTGTAAAAAATAATTTAATTTGTAAAAACGTACCAGAATCTGGAATACTCTTATTGAAAATTTAGGAAGAAAGTGTCCCCTTAAGGAAATTATTCCCCTCTAGTATCCAAGGTTTGATTTGGATTATAACCTCCCAGGGTAAAATGATTTTAATCAATAGAGTAGAGATACCAAAAACTCTACTGTCAGCGAATCAATCCACAGCAGGAAAGTACACGAAGAAATATATGTTTTTAAGAAGAAGGAAGATCAGAAAAAAAAATTCGTAGGAAATATTCTGAAGACTGAATGGTATTTATAGGCAAGAAGAATATATTCTAAAAGGTTGCAACCCTTTCAGAATTAACACGACCATTAATGAAAGGTTGCAAAATTTCAAATGGTATTGACTGTTCCTGAAAGTTGCAACCTTTCAGAATAGTCATGGCGGGAAATTTTGAATATAACGGAATTTAAAACGGGTCACTCGAGCGGATCCGAGTCGGGTCGGGTTAACTAAAAAGTTGAAAACATTTCGGTTAAATTCTGTTATCAACTAATTTATTGAAAATAATTTTTGGCCATTTAAAATTAATTAATAAATAATTAAAATAAATTTTGTCCAAAAAATTATCTCGATCATTTGGCTTTCCGAAGCGAGCGACGACGGCGCAAGGGGGTCCCTCTTTCCAACCCTTTTAACAATTAATAGGAGTGTTTATTTATTTAAACTCTCCTATTTTCCTTTCCATTACCGATGAGGGACTATTGCCTTTTTCAATAAAGCATTAGAGGACTTTTCAAGTTCCCAACCTTTCAAGTTCTAAACCTTTCAAATTCCTCTCCTTCCCTCTATTTCCCATCAATTCTTGCTACATACCCAACAATCCCCCACATTGATGGGGAATAGTTATAACATAGGAATGCACGGACAATTGTGTACTTTACAAGCAAGGATTAATCGCATCTGGATAAGTAGGTTTCCCCTTGGACTTTCCGTAGTGAACATATGTCGGATATACTCAGTCAATCGGTAGATGTGATATCTTTGAACCGTCGAACTTTGGTGTATACCTAGACAACCATATGTCACACAATTAACCCTTTACTGTTTATGATTCTTACGGTTGTGTTCGTTTCAGCCATGAACACCTCCTGGTTTCATGAGTGTATAGAGAATAGGCTTTTGACATAAATTCTCTTTGAAGCGGCTTCCACCTCACACTCACATAGGTGATTTCTGACCGTGTCATCTCGTAGATACACTATTTGGTCAAATCTACCAAACTTAGCAAATCATTAAAAACTTTAAGCTTTATTACCTCATTAACAAGCCTTAAAGTCTTAACCTTTTCCTGAACATTGTCTTCATCATGAGAATGGATTGAGTTATTTGACAATGTCGAACCGTCAGCCACAACTTTGTTTTTCTCCTTGAATCTAGCTCTTGGGATCTCCAGTCTGCTAGATAGAGTTACCGTCATGCTGACTTGTCCTAAGCCGTAAACCCATTCCCTTAGATGATCTTTCAACTGCCTCTCTCACTAGGCCTTTCGTTAGTGGATCTGACACATTATCGCTTGACTTTACATAGTCAATTGTGATAATTCCACTAGAGAGCAGTTGTCTTATGGTGTTATGTCTACGTCGTATATGACGAGACTTCCCATTGTACATAACGCTCCCTGCCCTACCTATTGCTGCTTGACTATCGCAATGTATGCAAATTGGTCCGACAGGTTTGGGCCAGAATGGAATATCCTCTATGAAATTCCGGAGCCATTCTGCTTCTTCACCAGCCTTATCCAAAGCAATGAATTCAGATTCCATTGTGGAGCGAGCAATACATGTCTGTTTGGA